TAAAAAAAAGCAGTATAAAAACCGGAATGTCCAACTGATAAGGCTGAAAATTTTTTCACTTGTTATTTACAGTAAGATAAATACATTCACCAACTTTTATTAAAATAAAACCATTTAAACTGGGTGTTCGGATTTATATGTCACTTAGTATATGTTGTGAGCCACCAGATTTGCCTTTGGGAGCTACCGGAGGCTCGCGATCGACGGGTTGGCGACTACTGCCATAGACCTTGTACTCTGAATAGAGTAGAGTTGCTCAGCTTTCGTTCATTGTCCACAGAAGCCAAGCTTACACCATGCTGAGAAGTTGCCAAATAGCACGAAACATCCACGGTTGGCCGTCTGTGGTCAGACGAACGAAAGCTATATTACTGGAAAGTACTCTTCCGCACTTAACCTCCTCACTTTGTACAAAACGCCGACTGAACTACTCTTCACATGCATGGGTTGCTGCCGCTCCACTCTGACCGCACTGTCCATGTTTGATTCAAATGAACCTTGTTCCTCTGAGGTTTCTTCTGTGATGGCGCTCCGCCTTACTTCCATTGCTAATTCTGCTTCTACCGAAGTACATATGCATACAGAACTGGTGGGTACGATAGATCCTTTGCTCCTAGAGTGTCGAACAATTTTTAAAAATTTTGTAAGCAGGCATAATAAGTTGCATTGAAACTCATACCTTTTTCTAACACGCTGTTATTATGTATTATGCATGTATGTATACAGGGTGGCGCATCGAAAACGAAACAGACGCATTTACTGGCAGCTCAGTTTTTTTTTTTTGAAAAACGCTCAGACTCGTCGGTTTTGTTTTCGAGGGGGACACAAGTTTGGCAAAAAATCACGTTAACATGTGCAGCCCCCTGGGCGGGGGTGACACCAACCCTAAAATCTTAAATGGAAAAAGGGGTCCAGTGATACCTTATTTTAAAGGTCTTTCAATTCCCTTTATAATGATATAAAATTAATGTACTTCAGTTCAGTAGTTTTGAAGATTTATTGATTTAAAGCTTAAAGTAGACTTTAATAGGTACATCAAATTAGTTTGTACTACTTTCAGAAGAAATTTGACTGAAAGACTTCACTTAATAAGTAAATGATTTTCTTCACTACGTCCATGGTTTATCATCTTGTTGTTGAAAAGAGCTATTGGAGTGTTTTTTTTGTGGCAAAAAGTTATTTCTTGAAGAAAGATAAGGAAATATCTCGTACTTATTTTAAATACTAATTTAGTACATAGTTTGCGATTGATTTGACCAAACTTTGTTGCGAAAATAACTTTTATCGCTTTATTACATAAATTAACCATAGTATATTCCACAGCAGAAAGAGTTGAAATTATCGAAATATTTTTCGGAAATAATCAGTGCGCTAATAGAACAGCAGAAATATTTAATGAGCGACATGAAAACAGTAACGTGCATCGAAAATATGTTCTAGAACTTCTAGCTAAATTTCAGGAAACTGGGTCAGTCGCCAATAAAAAACGCAACATTGAAAATCCGATAAGGAACGAAGCAATAGAAGTGGGGGTTTTAGGGCAAGTTTATGTAGATCCTACGTTAAGTAGCCGCAAATTGGAGACTGTTTGTGGTGTTAGTCGACGTACTGTCCAACGGATTCTAAAAGCCCATATGTTTCATCCGTATAAAATTCACCTGGTACAAGAACCTAATGAAGACGATTTTGATCGGCGATTTTGTGAAGATATGAGTGAACGAATTATAAACGATGGATATTTTCGATTCAACACTTGCTTTTCCTACGAATGTTCCTTATTCTTAAATGGCGTAGTAAATCGTCATAACTGGCGATATTGGTCCGATTCTAATCCCGGAATTTATCATGAGGTTCATACACAGCAGCCACAAAAATTAAATGTCTGGGCTGGTACTTTTGGCGATCATTAGTTGGTCCTTTTTTCTTACCTGGAAATTTGACCGGTGAAATGTATTTGGAATTACTGGAAGACCCCATAGATCCTGCATTAACAGTCATAATTGAAAATCAGAAAGATCGGCGATACATTGCGAATAGGTTGATGTTCCAACAGGATGGTGCCCCACCACATTACGCATTACGTGTTCGACAATATTTAGATCAGACGTTTCCAGATCGATGGATTAGTAGAAGAGGTGCCATTGAATGGCCCCCAAGATCGCCAGATTTATTACCTTTGGATTTCTTTATGAGGGGTCATTTAAAAGGCAAAATCTATGCTACTCAGCCCACATCATTAGGAGACCTGCGACAAAGAATTGTGAATGAGTGCCTTCAAATTACTCCTCAAATATTGCAAAATGTGCGGCAACGTTTTGGCCAAAATCTATTATTGCATGGAGAGTCATGATGGCCATTTTCAACATTTACTTGCCTAACGGGTCAGTTCATTCTTCATTTTTAAATTACTTTGCTGCCAAATGTATTGATCTCCGCTAATGATAATGTATTGGTTTTATTTAAGCTTTAAACCAATAAATCTTCAAAACTACTGAACTGAAGTACATTAATTTTATATCATTATAAAGGGAATTGAAAGACCTTTAAAATAAGGTATCACTCGACCCCCTTTTCCATTTAAGATTTTGGGGGTAGTGTCATCCCCGCTTAGGGGGCTGCACGTGCTAATGTGATTTTTTGCCAAACTTGTGTCCCCCTCGAAAACAAAATCGACGGGTCTAAGCGTTTTGAAAAGAAAACTGATCTGCCAGTAAATGCGTCTGTTTCGTTTTCGATGCGCCACCCGTATGTATAGTATGTATGTATGTATGTATACTAAGTGACATATAAATCCGAACACCCAGTTTAAATGGTTTTATTTTAATAAAAGTTGGTGAATGTCTTACTGTAAATATCAAGTGAAAAAATTTTCAGCCTTCAGTTGTACATTCCGGTTTTTCTACTGCTTTTTTTTAATTCACTAACGCTCTAAAAATGAATATTTCAGCCGCAGTAAAGAATCAACGTTGGCGGATTTTGGTTCTTGACATCCTTTACGATCGGTTACGATGCCTAGAGTACGGAGACCTGTACGATTTCGTCAACTTAGTGAGTTTGATAGGGGCCGTATAGTGGGACTTCGGGAAGCTGGACTTTCTTTTCGGGCAATTGCAGTTAGAGTGCAAAGGAGTGTAGACACTGTGGTGAGGTGTTGTCAGGCATGGCTTCGAGAAGGCCGTACGCAAAGAGCAAGGGGCACTGGACGCCGCCGTAGAACAACAGACCGTGAAGATCGCCGCCTAAGATTATTGGCCTTAAGGGACCGTTTCTCCACTACCAGGTCCATTGCAAATGAGTCGTTTGCAGAACACGGAAGACATATAGATCTACGCATTCGTATACTTTCGGACTTACTCTTTATTGGTTTGGGCACTCGGCACAGCACAACGGAGGCAGATACTTTTTCAAGGTAGTGCATCCTCACCTAGTTCATTGCGAATGTTGCCAGTAATCCTGAGTTGGGCTTCGATCGTCCGCAAGATGCAAGGTTGTACAGTCGATCATGCAGTCATTTAGCTAGGCTCGCGACTGTTTGCTGCTAGACAAGCTTATGTAGCACTTAGTCGTGTAAGATCTTTAGACGGTATTCGGATTGAAGAACATGATTGCTCCAAGTTAACGGGAAAAACCTCATGCAACAGTGAAACCTTAAATGCTTAGATTAGACATTTCAATACAGCATGTCCACAAGACTAATTGATAAATAGAACTAAAAAATGAAAGATAAATAATAGTTTAAGAAAACTAAAAAGGTACGCTTTTATAGCTAACGGAACTAAAAAGTAACAAATAATTTTTAATTACAAAGAGTTTATGTTACAGTAGTGGATGGTCGAACAATCATTCATAATTAATGACCACAAAATAAAATTTAAGTTATTAACGGATAATTCAAATCAGAATAATACTATGTAACTTTGACTGACTTGGTCCAATTAATTTCTCCGTTCGTAACTGATTTTTTTCTGAGAGAGTTTAACTTGTACTGAACTTAGTCCTTTATGAGCCAATGACGGCGTAGCGTAGGAAGTACAAAGCCAACCTACTTGACTCCATTCCTTATACCCAGCAGAAATGTTAGGCATCCTGCTCTATATCAGAAATGGGACTTTATATTTCTATCTATCCAAACGTAGCTTGCTATCTGCATCCGCACTTCTAGACATAACGGAACAGATGTTGCAATTTTAGGCCAGATGCAGAACTCCTACCATTGTTTATTAGGTGCGGAAGCAATGAACATAAAGAAACATTTACGGTGTGAGTAAACTAAGCTCGATATATACCTATATATAAATATTTATGCAGTGGCATATCTGCGGTAAATATCTACCAAGAAAATCGAGAAAAATACATAACGCGTGTTAATTAATAACTAGAACAAATAAGCACAGGGTACAGCGGCGCAGGTGAATTCAGTAGATCAATAAATATTTTTTGCACTACCGTCCACAGTCGCACATGCAAAATTGACATTTTCTGGTGATAATCGAAATTAACAGTTTTGCATCCATAGAATAGTAAAATAGTAAATATTCTTGCTAATTATTATATTGCCTTGCTAATCTGAGTAAGGTTCGTCTTTGTCTATGTAATACGACCGTGTTTTTAAAAAAATGTTCGCTGACCCTAGTCATTGTGCATACAGTTTTGCTATTATTCTCAAAGATTTGTATTGCCTATAAATTCACCGGTTACGGTGTAAAACTTGGAGGTTACTACTCGCCATTGTATCATAATGACATATAATAATCATCTACTCTTATTAATACTATAGTTGTAATATAGAAAACAGTAAATTGCTATTGTTGCAAAAAATAGCTTGTTGTTAGCATGTTCGAGCACCACAATTGGAGTACCTAATATACAAATAGCAATTTTCTGATACTTACCTAACAGATAGCCATTGTTGATCATTTTTTTCTCCAATTCATCATCATCCACACATTGTAAAACGTGTAAAACTTATTCATTTATGTAAAAGCAAATACTGCAGTAGGCTTGAAAACTCATTCAATATCTGTACACTCTGATTTAAAAAATTATTTCTTCTCCCTCAAGCAGTAGTAGGCACAATTTCTGTAGCATATACGAATATACAGGCTGTAACAAAAGTTTGGAACACATCGAATATCTGACGAATAACTCATCTTGTTTTTTTTTAACTTTTTAAACCACGGCGGACCGTTAGTGATATCCGCGATGTTGCCAAATCTACAATTTTTCAGAAACTGATAGCAACTTATAATATTTAAGAACAATAAGCTTGAAAAATAAGAAAATGCATATTTCCTGGCGTCCTCCGTTCACTTCAAATATCAACAAATCTCTGTATATGTAACCGATATATCAATATACGTATGCTCTTCGTTTTCCTGGATACACATTAGAACATTTTCATAAGCCAGTCGATAACAATTTGTATAAACGAATAACACACATTTTCAGTGGTTTCTCAAAATTATGTCACCTTCACTCCGATATGCCCGATTTGTACGTAATTTTTGCATCTAAGACAAAGTTGAGTAAGAAGAAAATGTACCCAGCTCAAAAATGAGATAAAAATGCATAATTACAGAGATCTCTAGATACAGGATCTAAAAAAATGTTAAATATAATTATTCATATTGTTTAAGGTAAAATTGCTTATTAAAAAATCCCGTATATCTACTAGTAATATCTTTAGTATTGACGTATGGAAGTTATTCGTGGTGTTCTTCTAGTACCTATATATTAGAGAATCTGTTGATCTGTTGGCACTTCTCATAAAAAAGAATTATATAATTCATGTATACAGGGTGACTTTGAAGTTGAGTCATTAATTTTCAGATAATGATTGTAGAAGGAAGATAAACCAAAATATGTGTGTAAAAATAAAAAAAATGTTTACCTTGTTTTATAAAGTATCCCCCCGACAAGTATTTCAGTGCGGACCTGTATTTGATCGTGAGGTCCCCTGTGAGGTCTTAAGTCACCTGATTCACGAGCCCGTTGTACTTCATTAACAAAGGCACGAGGGGTTGGTTGCGCTCGATTGGGAAACCGATCCGCATAAACATGTGCCATTTTTTATTTCGTTTGAGCCACGCAACAGACACCACTATTCACACTATTCACACGCGTTACCGACTGACACTGACTGTATGTATACAACTGAATAAAATAATTGTAAAAACATCGTTCCAAATTCTTTCGATTTTTTGTTTCCGATGCGATGAACCGATAAGGCGGATTATATCCGTTGTTGCCAAACACGAGCACATGATATTATTATTGAGACAGGGCGGTACTCAAACTTCCAAAGGGCTATAACTTTGTTACTTTAATTTTACCAGAAAAATGGTAAAGGAAAAAAACATTTCTTTTGATCAGATCTACTCACTGTTAAAATAAATGACTCAACTTCGAAGTCACCCTGTATACAACTTAGCTATTTCTAGTTTATCCGCTAGCACCAATAGTTTCCAAAATACAGATTAATTTACCTTTTCCAACATGATGTATGGCTGTTCGACGGCATTTTGGCTGTCCGGTGTACAAGATTTTCCAAGCGGTTCAGTCCTCGATGCATATCCCATCACTGCCCTAAAACATACGGCAACAAGCTAGCGGAAATGTATATATCTAACTAAATAAACTGGAATTTATCGTCACTTCCTGGTAGAGTTATATCAACTCGCATTCGCTCGACTACGATTACGTCTGCGAGACTTAGGTAAATATTTGAAATTGCTTGGAAACAAAATTAAGGTAATCCGTAAGCAGTGCTCTATTTATCGAACAGCGTGGAATGATGTGGCAGATTGCAGCTCATATAGCCGCGATTTTATTACATGCCATCACCATCAGATAATTTAGGCAGTTATTCATAAACCCACATGAACTCTACCGTATTTCTGGTTACTCTCAGGGGTCTGAAATTTAATGTTTTAAGCAGCTGGCCTTACTTCTGACAATAGCTCTGCAATATAAAAAATGTATGTTCTTTAAAAAATATAATATCGTATAGCTTTGTTAAAATATAAATTAAATCAAGTATAAAGGAAAGTCACGCTTCGTTGCTTGTACGGTGTGTAGTAACTTATTTTCTATGCCAAAAACATCTCATTTATAGGTATGATTTAACGTTTTATTGATTTTTGGGATGTTAATAAAGGCTTCTTACTTATTTTTTTACATTCATGATCAGTGTTTTTGGCAAGACTAGCTTCATAAACATTGACTAGAGCGCAATATGCAAAACTTCAAAATAAAAGTTTCGGAACGAGGAAACTACATATATTGGCAGGAGTCGATATGATATTTGGTTGACATATGTGGGAAAGCAAGCATTGGCGGATTAGTTGTTTAGAAGGAAGAAAGTAAAGAAAATACTATAAAGTGGCTATTGAATGAAATAAAAAATTATCACAATTGGGCAGACCCCCGTATATGTGTAATTAAAGGTGTAAAAAAATGTGAAAAATGATAGAAAATAATTTTGAATAATTTTCACCTACTTCCGACTAGTGGGCATGCAGGCATCCATATAATAACAAATAATACAGAGCGATATTACTATTGACCAGGAATTGACAGAGATGTACGAAATTTTGTAAAATGATATGATAGTTGTCTGAAAATGGAACATTCAAATCATTACGTCAAAGAACCTATAGTCAATTATGCATTTCAGAAAATATATTTAGATTTAGTTGGACAGCTACTAACAGACTTACATGATTTTTTCCATACACTCTTCAGTGCGAATTAACTAAGTTTGTTGAAGCATATCCACTAAAACGTAAAGATGCGATATCAGTAGCAAAGAGTCTTGTTGAAAATTTCATTTTGGGGTATGGCATTCCCCAAAAAATTGCTACCGATAATCCACAATGTCAGAAGTCGCTGGACTTCCCAAAGTAAAGCATATTCAATCAACCGCATATCGTCACGAGAGTATAGGTGCGCACAAAGTTTTGGGTGCGTACCTTAGAGCACAAACAGAGAATAATTACCCAAGTGGAGTACATGGGTACCTTACTGGTTTTTAGCATATAATACGACCGTTCATACAGAAACAAAGTGCACTCCATTTGAACTAGTGTTTGGTCGTAAATGTCAAATTCCTAGTAACTTGAACCACATTGTAGAGCCAGTATACAATTTTGATAACTATCAACTGAAACTAAAGGACAGGCTACAGAAAGCTTACCATGACGCAAGGGCAAGCTTAATACAATGAAAACAAAGCAGAAAAGTGTCCTATGATAAAACAATAAACCCTAAAACTTATAATAAAAGAGATATGCTTCTGATAAAAAATGAAACCGGAGATAAAACTAGTCCATGTTTTTGGGTCCTTATTTAGTGACAGAGGATTTATCTCCAAATGTAAAAATAATTAAGGTTAATAAGGAGATATTGGTACATAAGAATAGAACAAAACTTTATTACTCCTAGGTTGTTTCGATATTGGTATAAAGTTTAGTAGACAAAGGGCCCTACCCATATTGTATCTTCACTATTCTAATCTATTTCTCTTCTGCTCATTTTCTCTTTTTCATTTCATTTATTATTTATATAACATATAATTAATCATTTTATGTACATATGTTTACAGTTATTTTATATATAGGTATATACATATAATTTTTGTTTGACTTTTTTTGGCTTCATGTAACCTATTTGATTTTTTTTTATTTTAACCGATTCTGCAATATTAGATACTTTCCTGTTTATCACTTGTTAATTGCTGATGTAGGCAGTTGAATGAATGCCCTACTTTTGTATTGTACAAAATGCACTGTTACTTGAAAAAGGCAATAATAAAGTTAGATTCCATCAAGAAAAAGGGGTGTGATTGAGGGTCAGTAGACCCTGATCCAACTTTATTACAAGCACTATATCATATCAAACAGTTCACCAAAATTGGACTAACTTTTTGCTTAGAGGCTCAATCTCAAACATGCCGCTTTCGTCCGTCCAACCAAAGACAGCCAACCATATACAGCTGTTTCGTGCTTTTTGGCAACCCATCAGCTTGGTCTAGGCTTGGTCTCTGGGACAACAAACGAAAGTATCTCAACTATCCTCTGTTCAGGATATGTCTATGGCGATGTCTCAGGCGGAACATAATCCTTTATGCAGAGTGTAAGTGTGTGTGTAAGTGTAGAGACAGCATGGTTGACGCCATTTTTTGCCACTAAAAATAAGAATGACCCAGCTATCTAGCCAGCGCTCAAAATTGTTATAATTCCATAAGAGTCTCAAACTACTTACGTATTAATCCATTTTAAGCAATAACCACCCTACAGGGATAAGACCAAAATAAGGGTCAACAAATATTGTTGAAGAGCCTGCTATGGATTAGGGCACCTATAGTAATCACTTTGAGTTGAGTTGAGAATTAGGAAAATGTTAATATAAACAAGAAATCATATAACTGTCAACTAAACAAACACAACTTTCTTGATTAATTCATGGCTTTGTTTGTAATCACTTCAAATTGATCCATCAAACAATTGGGTAAGTCATTAACTTAGTTACTTTGTTAATTAATTTATAGATTTGATTAGCAAACTTAATCGGTTGATCGCCAGCAATGGCTATTATCCGACTATTCAGTTTCAAATAATCGATGGATGTTACTAGCACTACTTTGAACGTAAAACAGAAATACTACATACGCATCTATCTAACCTAATCTCCTTCATGGCTTGAAAGAACTTTGATTTACCAGATACCAATAATAACTTGAAACAACATAATCTTACCTATTTTTTATCGGGGGTCAAATAATCAGTATCTGTCTCCAGAAAGAGCTTACAAAATACGGACTGCCTGTCAAAAACCATCTCTAACAAAGCGTAGCTTTACCTATTTTTTGTGGCTAAATAAGACAAATGATTATTTGAAGCACAGTAAATTCATCGTCATCTGCCAATCATTTTGCTTTTAGACCCGCCATCCCCTCCGAAATGAAAAATTGGAAGCAAACGGTCCGAGAAGCCAGACAGCTCACACCGTACTTTGAAGCGCAAGTGATTTCTCCATCCATAAAAATATGACGAGGATTTAAATGCCACCAGCTTTCTAAATTTTTGGAGTTGGAAGCCATCTCTACAAAAAAGTTTCAGTATAAGCTGTTAGTGATTATTATTACCCTTAACATTCTTGGATGTTTCATTATATTATTATTTTAGATAATAGCGGAGCGTTTATGCAGCGAATAGAAACTGGAAAGTTTATTATTTTGTAAATTTTATTCAAATTATACTAGGATGAACAAAGCCACTCCGCATGAGAAAATGGTGCGAAGCTCCTGAAAATGCATATTTTCCATAACACAGAGGAGCAGATGGCACTCTCGGGCTTAAGTTGGAACAATGTATATTCTTTGTCCTCTCTTGAGATAAATATCTGTTTTGCATAATCAATTTTGTTCTTTCATCAGTTGTTTGAGAAAATCATGTTATACGAGGGCGGGATAAGCCTACAAAAGAAATACGAAAATTTTGGAGAAGTGGCGGGTCTGCAAAGTAAGCCTCCGTGTCCCTAATTTCTGACCGGTCAGTGACTGTTTCAAGTTTTGAAACAAAAAGAAGTAGCACGCGATGTATGGAGCAGCAGTTCCTAGCCTAATTCGACCAATTTGCTCTGTGACCGTTTTGCCCTTCTCTACGTAGTCGATATGAACACGCATGAATCCCAGAAAACGATAGGACAGTCTTCGCCTTATTCGGAGCACGTTCACCGGGAAAGTCCACTGTTTCCTTGGTGTTTGAGGTGTCAACATCGTTAATTGCGCATTAACGTCATGTCAGAAAATTGCGTGAAAGCCCATTGCGGGCGGATAATGTAAATATTCACATTTTAACGTCTTTGCTCGGTCACTAAAAAGAAGGGTGGGGCATACAAAAAGCTTGAAAAACAACCAGGTTGGACCAATTATTATTAAAATATGCAAGCTGGCTTCATAGTCCGATTTGCTGTTATTGCGTTTAGTCAGAATACTATACCAATTTGAATACGAAAATTCACTTCCAATTGACAACACATAGTAACATAGAAGTGTGTAACATAACCTGACATTATCACTGATCCCTATTTGTCGAGCATTAACCTCATCTTCTGGCCAATGGTGCTAGTAGCCATTAGCATTGGCGAAATTGATTGAGCATTATCGTCATTGGTCGGCGAATAACATTATAATAATAATACCTATATATTTATTGCCCAATAGATACATCCATTTAAAGGACAATGTAATTGAGTACAATTTGACGTTACAGTATTTTTAACTACAATCATAGCTCGCCCAGTTTCTGAAAAAAAAATGAAAGAAAAAAATGAATAGCTACACCAGCTCACCTAAATGTCTTAAATGTTATAAATTGAATATTAGTAGTCGCTGAATACAGCTAATATATCTTTGACTTTATCATGATTAATTATCAGCTAACATATGGTGTTAAAGCTGGAGCACATAAAGTACATGGGTGACTTAATGATAACATTAGAATTTGGTGTTTTTAAGAAAAAAGCGACAAATCTTCGGGAAATGCGGGACGGTACATAAAAATCAATTTTAGCTAATAAAGCTGAATGATCAACATCACTGTGTACGAGTTTGTAACTATAACAAACTCTTTTCGTTTCACTACTAAAGGATTTACAGTTTCTTATCAAAAAACC